GCACCTGTAGGCAGTTGTAAATTCTAACCAGCAACCAGTAACTATGGGCGATAGCAGGACAGAACCCTGGGATGGGGGAGGAAGGTGTGGGAACCCATCATAGGTGTTGCACTTAACCCCACAACTGCCCTCCATGTGCTCATTCCTGAGCATGGAAATAGATCCCTTTTGATATTGACAGCAAGGAGACAATGAAATACTGCAAACATCAGCTGGTAAGGTGCTTGGCACTTCCCTGAGACCATTCCGGGAACCCTCTGCTTCGCCCATAGAACAGCTCCTGGATGTAGGAAGGACAGATTCTTGGATTCCTCTTTTTACTGATACTCCCTCCTTTTGAACCTCTACTCTAGGCCAAATGGGTACCTGGCACTCAAACAGATTTGCTGGAGGACATAAAAGCCAGCCTCCTCTTTCAGTGTGCCAGTTTTGGAGGATGATTCATCTGAAAATGAAAGAACCAGAGAGCCATTCAATGCAGCAAAACACTTCAGAACGCTTCTTGCATCCATTCCTTAACCTGAAGGCTTCTATCTTATCCCCAACTTTCTGACTTGTTACGTCAGTGTCCTGGTTCTGGCCTGGCTTTACTCTGAAGTGAGGGATGTCCTTCAGTATACAGTGATTTCTCCACCTCAAATGAGACCTTTGGTTCTCTCCCAGTCTTGTTCTGTGTACCCTTCTGCCCTGTGTCCATGGGTGAGTCCCTCAGCTATCTTCATAGGAGGGTCAGTCTATCTTTAATGAGCTTTAAAAATCAGTAGGTCCCCACTGAAGAGCCATGCTAGAATCTAGAGGAGCACATGAGGTGAGCTGGGTCAACCATTTCACAAGCTGGAAATCACCTGGCAATTTGAAACATTTTACCTAATGAGACCCTGATTGGTACCAGCTGGAAGAGCCGCAGATCTGAACCACGGGCACCGGTAAATCCAGTAAGATGCCCTTGGCCTATTGCAACTGACTGCATAGTCCAGGCTTCAGAGGGATATTTGCCATGCATAGTCTGGGTCATCAGCATCTTACAGGAAAACAGACGTTTAGTTATCTCAGAGGTTCTCAAGTGGCTTGGCTTGAGGGCCGTAAATTGCAAGGTTAGGGGATAGATTGTTTAGTTTCCTGCAATATATCAACTATTATTGTCTTTAGCCAAATGAGTTATGGCCCAAGTATGTTGGTTATTCATTATCCACTTGCCTCAGTGCCACCATGAAACAATCAAATCAAATCCAGCACTTTTTGAGGGTGAGGCCCAAAGCACTAAACCTCACATCGATTTTGCAAATTGCTTTTTCTTATTCCTTTAACCTCTTGTAAAAAGCTGCAGTTTATTGTCCCTTTATAATAGATATCAAAGTCTAATGTCCCCCATCTTAAATTACTGTTGATAGCGCCATTACTAATAAATTAAACCTGTTACAGAAAAACACATGCTGTGCTGTATTTGTTATAGTAACTATGTCATGGGAAAAATGTGTTTGGCTAAATAAAAAGAATATGCGGCTGTTTTGCATAAAATTGAAATGGAAATGATACCACAGGAAATTATTTTATGTCAACCACACAAACAGGCAAAATATCTCTCCAGCCAGATTGAAGAGGAAAATTAACTGTGTTATTGTTCTCAGTGACATTATATGTCTTTCTAAGAATCTGGTCCTTTCTAGACCAGAGGGTATGGCCAATGCAAACACGTAATCTCTAGGAGGAGCACAGACCCTGAGCCTTCAGGGCTGGCCAGGCCAATGTCCCAAGTCCTGTCTTCTTTTCTGAGGTCCCTGGCCCAGAGCTTCCCACCCTAACCCAGGTGCCTCCCCTAGCCCTCCCCTTGGCCCACTTTTCTACAGGCTCTTCCCAGCTTCTCCCCATAGTGATTCCTGCACTGAGGCTGCCCACTGCAGGAAGCCCAGGCGTTAAGGGATGTAAGGCTCCTGCCATTTGGTTATCAGTTTACTGAAGTAACTAACAGGAAGTGAATAAAAAGTAACCACTGAGGATAATCTGCCTAAGACCTCAAAAAAGCCTCTAGAAGTCTCACTGAAAAATCTCTTTCAAAAGTATATTTCCTATCATGACATGATATGGACAAATCATTCATAAAAGAGACACAAATGGCAACAGGCTTAACGTCCCTAGAGTGGAGGAAAACATTTAAAACCAGGAGGAAATACTACTCCACCCACTTTAGGTAGGCAAAATGGAAGTGTTGTCTTGGCCTGGAGCAACTGAGATCCAGGTCTGAGATGGATTAGCCTCTCCCCTTTGCAGAAGAATTGGTCACCTCCGTTCCTCTTCTCATGTCCCAGGGCTGACCACTTTATTGTGAAGGAGAATCACTGGGGATCTCCCCATGGGACAGGGGCTATAAATCTGCATTTCTAGCAAACCTCCAGGAGATAAAACTACTGTCTGAGTTCCAACTTTTTTTTTTTTTTTTATTAACTCATAGCTGTGTACATTAATGCAATCATGGGGTACAATGTGCTGGTCAATTTGAAATATTTTCATCAAACTGGTTAACATAGCCTTCATAGCATTTTCTTAGTTATTATGTTAAGACATTTATATTCTACATCTAGTAAATTTCACATGTGCCCTTGTAAGATGCACCGTGTCCAACTTTAAGGAGCAAGTTCCTGGCCAAGTTCTTTCACAGGGGCACCAGGGGACAGGCAACAAACTCACAGCAGGACAGAGAAATAATAAAATATCAGAAGAAATAAATGTAAAAGTTTAGATATTCATTCTGCTAGAACCCACAAACACTTTTTTTTCTTTCTGAGACAGAGTCACTGGGTAGAGGGCTGTGTGCCATGGCATCATAGCTCACAGCAACCTCAAACTCTTGGGCTCAAGTGATCCTCTTGCCTCAGCTTCCCTAGTAGCTGGGACTATAGGTGCCTGCCACTATACCTGCCTAGTTTTTTTTATTTTTTATTTTTTTATTTTTAGTAGAGACAGGATCTCACTCTTGCTCAGACAGGTCTCGAACTTCTAAACTCAAGCAATCCACCTGCCTTGGCCTCCCAGAGTGCTAGGATTATAGGCATGAACCACTATGGCTAGACAAACATATTCTTGAAGATATAAAAGGCCAGTCTCCCTGAATAGCAAATTTACATTTAAAAATGGAGGGAATGTGGGGCAGGGCACACAGTGATGAGAGACCCTACCTCTGAACCCTCCGGGGCAGAGGTAGGGAACCAGACTGCAAGACCCCACTCCTGAGTCCCTGAAGTATTTGGCCTGGATACAGTCCAGATACCTGAAATTTAAAAATCTCTGCAGAACATTCTAACATACAGTCAGGGTTCAGAACCACAGCTCTAGAGCCTTGTTACACAAAGTGTGCACCAAGGGCCAGCAGCATCAACCTCATCTGGGGACTTGTCAGAAGCAGACTCTCAGGCTACCCATCTTTTATTTTTAATTTCTGATTAATATGAGGGTACAAATGATTAGGTTGCACTGTTCGCATTTGTTAGACAAAGTCCAGGTTATAGTTGAGCCCTTCATGCAGAAAGTGTGCCATATACCCCTGCACTGTGCCCATTAGGTGAGAGCAACTAATCTCTCTCCCTCCTCCCCTCTCCCCTTGTTCCTCCCCCTCCCCTCACTTCAGTTGTGTTTTTGTCTTATGAGGGTGTGTAGTTGTTCATCTACTGGCTTCACATTACTATTGAGTACCTTGGATGCTTGCTTTTCCATTCTTGTGATACTTTACTAAGTACAATGTTCTCCAATTCCATCCAGGTTAATACAAAAGACAGAAAGTTGCCACCTTTTTATGGCTGAATAGTATTCCATGGTATACATATAACACATTTAGTAATCCATTCCTGGGTTGATGGGCACTTGGGTTGATGCCACATCTTGACAGGCTACCCATGTTACTGAATGAGACAGAATCACATCTTCCCCCTCCCCATACCCAACCCAAATGTTATTTTTCCCTTCTGGAAACTAAAGCAGAGCCACTGGGTCCAACTATCCAGCCCACACTCCATCACCTCCTGAGTGAATCTCAAGTATGGAACAAGCTGGGGCCCTCTGAGCTTGAGTTTTCACTGAACTCCCTGTCTACCTGGAGTCAATTTTGAGAGACAGAACAGGGGAGGGCCACCATTCCTTATTCTCAGAGGCAAAGCTTTCGCAGAGTGACCTGGCAGTGGGCTGAAGCTTAGGGGCTGAGCACTCTTCTGAAACACCCCAGGCCATAGCTGATGCAGGCAAATGGCAAAAGACCCCCAGGATCCTGTTTCTGTATGGAGAATAGTTCCTGTGAGTAGGCATAGCACCAACCAGAGAGACAACTCTTCCCTGAGCCCAGAGGGCAGGAGTAGGCCACAGGCACAGACCAAAGGGATAATCATTCACTTTGATTGAGATGAATCCTCTACTTGGTGGCAAAAGGAAAAAACTGGCCAATGTAGGCTAACATTAATATTTTAAGCATTCTAATGACCATCACCTGCTACCCCTGGTTTTCACCTTCAACATGCTATAGCAGTGGTTCTCAACCTTCCTAATGCTGCAAGCCTTTAATACAGTTCCTATGGGTCGTGACCACAGGCTAAGAACCGCTGCTGTAAGCAACGGTGAACCCGAGTGGGGAACTGATCTCTAGCCCAGCAAGTGACCCCTGATGTGGGGTGAAGGGCAGAAATCCACCGTCCAGCAAAGCACCTGGAGCAGTACTTGACACTGGGCCCCACTTGCGACTGCCTTACACACCAGAGACATTTAAGGACCTTTTGAACCTTGCTGGGGACAGACTGTGACTCAAGATACCCTGGAAAGATGTGGCTATGGCTCCTCTCCTCCACAATGACCAATCTTGACAGTCAACTTCTGTTGACAAGTGCAGGTGGGCAGTCCAAGCAGCCAATGACAAGTGACCAGAGCTGGACTCTCAGTATCTATCTTTCCCAGGTCATACAAAACAGGAGGGCAAACGCCCACAGGGGTGAGTCCCTCACCACCTCCCCAAATGCACTCACGAGATTTCCGGTTGGCCCGGGACCGCTTCCTCTCTCTCGGCACCACTCGCTGACTGGGCACTTGGGTGGCTGACTTGACTATGCGGTCCATGATCTCATCGGCAGCATCATCTGTGATGTTAGGTGAGTCATCAGTTCCCATAGTCCAGGAACCAGTGGATCCTGAAAATTAAACCACCAGAGAGTACGATGTAATCAGAAAGAAGGAAAACTCAGATGAAAATATGTAGCATGATTCCTCCATGCAGCTGAGTTCCGGATCAGCTAGGATCAGAGCTAGTGATAGCTGTAGAGCACTACCCTGTCCCTGTTGCAGTAGGCACCACTGTCATCTATGGCCATAACCCTCTAGGCTCTGAACAAATCCACCTTATAACATAGCTGTGATCTTGTTCTCATTGCTATCCTCTCTACCCCTGGCTGTGCTATCTTCACCTGCTTCATGCTGTGGTCACCTGAGGGCAGCTGACCCACACCACACCCTGTGGCATGTCACTGATACCCACCAGTGCACATCTAGTAATGTAGAGAGACCCACTGAGGGGTCTACTGCGTCAGCTCTCTACTGAAGGACACATATGCCTAGTGAATGTCAACTAATCCTAACATCTCATTGAGTTAAGTAGAAACCAATGGAGTGTGTCTTTTAAAAACTATAATAGGATTACCTCCTTCAACTAGCAAAGGGGATGTTGACTGAAATTTTCCTTTGGTACATCTATCTGCTCCTTGACCAAAAAAATATATTTATAAATAATTACATGTTAAGACAGTCCAAATCTGGCATAAAAGTATCTGCCCACAGACAAGCAAGAAGAAAGCACTACCAAAACATGGCTTCCAAGTAAGGTTAAACAGTTGGAAATTATTGCTAATATATTTAGAACTATGCCTTAGAGGTAGATCAACTTCCTTGTGACATCTCTCCTATAAGATGGTGAATAGGTGTCCACAGAGGAAAGATGTGCAGTGTGTTCAAAGTTGTTAATTTCCACTATCGTTTTGTAATAAATGTACAATAACTCCAAAAGCCTATAGGTGAGAACTCTCAGAATCACTGCCTGTGAAACACAGGTACTCCCAGCCTCACCGAAGTACAGTTTAAGCTGAAGAATACTGAGCTTCTTCCAATTCAGAGAACAAAATGAAAATAGCAATGAACATTTTAAATTTTGAATTCTCCCATACTAATGTTATTTTTAGGTTTTGGTGCTTGCAACTACCTGATTAGTAATAAACGAAGAAAGAAAAAACTGGATCTGGAGGGAAGTGGTTGGGAAGAGTGAACCACAGTTCGGTAGACTGCTGTTTTTATAAACACATGTGCGTGTAGTTGAAATGTCATGCAAATAAGTAACACGCTAAAATGCAGTCATAATTTCTGCTAGTAAAATTTACACAACTGGATTTAAGACATAAATAATTCACTTTGCCAAAGAAGTGCTGATACTCCAGGTGCTCCACCACCTGCGTGAGACTTGTAGCCATAGGACAATGACATTTTCAAATGACATGGGGTTTTTTGTTATTTAGTTTTGAAAATTTGTTTTGCTTATTTTTTATTCTTTCTGCTAGTCTCAAAATGAGAGGCCGCAGGTTGCCTTAATTTTTGAGGCTATTCTGCTATGAATGTGGCTGAACCAGCCTCAAGTGCCTGTCTTATCCACCTGTTCCCACCCCTGATGACAAAAATTTTGCCTTATAGATTTTTATGGGCTTGGCTTTTACATTCTATATTTGCAGACTTCATTAGCACATGCACTCACTTTAATTTAAAAAAAAATTTTTAAGTACAAGGAGAGGCAATTAACACCCATTAGACTCATAGCCACCAGGCCACCAGGGCACGCTGGGTTCTGTCATCACTCTGTGCCCCATTTCCTTGTGCTGGATCCTCAGCACCACTTTACATGAGGGGATATTTTTTCCCTCCACAGGGTTGTTATTTTAACAAAGGAGGTGTTTAAGACCTAAAGGAGGCCATAATTTTGAAAGGAGGGCCTTACGAAACCATTCTCTATAACCCTGTGACTACTATGGCCCTCCCATTTGCCAATGCACTCTCCCTTTGTTGTTATTACTGTTAACAGATAAAAGAAATGGATAATTTTATTTATTGCCTTTCCTTGGGGTTAGTGTGGTTCTTAAAAACCTCCATCTTGGAACTCTGAAAACGCTGTCACGTTTGGGTTCCCAGTGGCAGGTTGGGAAGTTTGTTTTTTTTTTTTTTTTTTTTTTAATGGGAACATACTTACAGCACTGGGACATACAGGACAGTAAGTTGTACTTTTTCTGCTTATACCCAAGGGATAAGTGGACCACAGTTCAGTAATCTACTTGTATCAGAAGACAAACTTTCTAGCCAAAACCTTACAAAACAGGTTCTTCTGAGAAATGAATGTTTGCAATTGTTGCTGAATGTTTCTGCATTCTCAGGAGAGTCTAGGAGTTCCAGTTGGAGGTAAAGGACCTCACAGTGTCACACTTCCAGACCGGGACTCTGCAGAGCCTCTGAACAACGGGCCCCCTCAGAGCACAGTGATCAGTAGCGCAATTCAATTGTGTTTTACTCAGCAATTTCCTATTTTCCCTTTTAGCTAGTGACTTACAATTCTGTGTCTTATCTTGAAATGTCACACTAACCTTTCAAAACACACAAAGCTCAATCAATTGTATTTGCTCATAATACATTTTCAGTGCAGTGGGCCAGAAAGAAAGTCATCACCTGATCTTCCCCCCTGAGAATTATGGACACTTTCCCATCTCACACATTCCTGGGGATCTGCTGTCAATGTATTATGTCAGGAGATACCCCTTATGTCAGGAAAAGGGGTAACCTACCATAGGGTCCACGACCACCAGACTCACTTTTGTGATGATTTCATTCCCTCATGACCTCACTCCTGGTTCTACTTTTTAATCTCTTCTCCTCTTAGTTACTGTCCCAATCCCTGATTACCATTTATTTCCATTCTTCTTGGCCATCTACATACTCCTCTTCCAGGAGCTATTGCAGCCATAAGGAGAATTCTGCAGACACATTCTATGCACCCAAGGGGCCATCTGACTCATCAGTCTCCCTAGTGGTAGCAAGGTCTTTGAGCTGTACTAGAAGGGATAAAGCACTCTAGACCATGATTGCACTATACCACTTTTACTTCATTTCTTGAAAATGGAAACTGAAGTTTGGGTAAACAGGAACACTGTAATTTATTTTTTCTCTTCTCTTCCTTAATGTAAGGAAACAGTCTATAAGAAAGATACACCAAAATATGATGTTTTAATGCAAAAAAAAAATTGTCTTCCTTTTTGAAATATAATTTCCCTAAGGATATACCTCTAGGTTAGAAGATTTTTCCTTTGACAGGTTAAGATATCATTCTTTCTTTTGGCTTCCATAGTTCCTGTTGAAAAGTGAGCCATTATCTTTAACAGTCTACTGTAGAGAGTAATGTATCCTTCCTATCTGTCTTAAAGCTTTTGTTTTTATCTTTAGATTTTAGTAGTTTTAGTAGTTTTTTAGTTTTTAATATTTCTTTATATTTATTCTGTTGGATTTGCAAAGTTTCTTAAATATGCAGGTTGTCACCCATCCTCAGTTTGGGGAAATTGTCGGCCATCATCCCTACTTCTTTGCTTCTTACCTATTTGCTTCTTACTTCCCATTGCTTCTTACCTATCTCCTTATGGTACTCCAATTACACATGTTAGACTATTTGACTGTGTCCCACATATCCCTTGCATTTTATTCTATTCTTTCCTTCCCCCCCCCCCAATCAGGCTTCAATTTGTATAGTTTCTATTAACCTGAATCACGAATCCTCTCTTTTGCCAGGACCAACTGCTGTTCAACCCATTCAGTGAGCTCCTTCATATATTTTATTTTGTAGTTTTAGAATGTCCCTTTGATTCTTTTTTATAATTCCTATTCTTTACTAGAATGATGTACCTTTTAATGCATTTTCTATGTTTTCCTTTAGTTTTTATTTTTAACATTTATAATGATCATTTCAAGTTCTTGGCTATACATTTCATCATCTAGATCACTTATCTAGAGTCTGCTATTTATCTGTTTTTCCTCTTGTTATACTTCCACGCTTTTCCCTTTGCTCATACAGTTTAACCACACACTGACTATAATACAAGAATGTAAAAACTGAACTCTATTATTTTCCTCCAAAGAGTATTCTTCCATCCCTCTGCTAATAGATATGGTGAGGAACTGAGCTGGGTGGAGGCCAGATAGCAGTTTTATTTCTATTTTATTATTTTATTTTATTTTTTGAGACACAGTCTCACTCCATCACCCTGAGTAGAGTGCTGTGGTGTCACAGCTCACAGCGACCTTAAACTACTCCTGGGCTCAAGTGGGTTCATTACTGAGTATCTGTGATATGTGATGTAACTCACAAACCAGCTTACCTGACACACTCCTTTTTACTGACTGTTCAAATGTAGTTACCGCAAGCACCCTCTTTCACACTCCTTACCTTAGCCTCCTAAGTAGCTGCGACTACAGGCACCTGCCACAACACCTAGCTAATTTTTCTATTTTTGATAGAGATAGGGCCTCACTCTTACTCAGGCTAGTCTCAAACTTCCGAGCTCAAGTGATCCACCTGCCTCAGCTTTCCACAGTGCTAGGATTACAGGCGTGAGCTCTCAGCCCAGATTGCAACTTTAGTTAAGACTCAATCCACCTGTCTTTTCAAATCTCTTAGGCTAAGATCTATGAGTATTTGTTGAAGGTGGTCACTTTAACTTGTCTTTGTTTCCTTAATATTTCAACACCATGGATTTCTTTCAGCTTCTCTAGACCAGCACCTCCCTCTGAATGCACCCCCTGCCCCCATGCTGTACTTAGCAAATGTCTCATGCAGAAAACCATCTGCATTTGGGGCTCTTCTCAAGCCCAATCTCTTATCTCACATGGATATTGCAATTTCTGCTGGTTACTCTTTGCCATTAGAGTCACCTGACCATGGTAAACCCAATCCTCAGCCTGTACCCAGATTTGGCAAATGCTCCTATCTTTCTAGGCTCAGCTCACCTAGAATTCTAGTTTGTCTAACTCTCTTTTCTTTCATAGTCCTCCAAACCTTTTTAAAAGAAAGACATTATAACCTCTCTCTCTCTCTCTCTTACTTCTAGCTGTAGCACAAGTGGTGCCCTGCCTCATCCTACCACGTGCCAGTGATAGAAGTCTCTGTGCAGATGGGAGACTACGGAGAAACTAAACAGCCTGCCTTCCCAATCCCTTTCATCAGCCAGAGAAAACAACCCCGTATTGGACAAAGGCAAGGGCATTTTTTTCTCTTTGTCATTTCTAGTCAGGAACAGATGTCTATTTCCTTTTAACAGTGGTACAACCTGTTTATGATCTATTACTGGCACCCCCAAAACCTTGGCTTTTACCCCAGACATCAGGTGAGGGTCTTGAGCCCCTGTACCTCGGTAGAGGCACTTGAGTCCCTCAGGAACCAACCATGGAGTTTCTCCAAGTGCCTGCAAGCTGTATTCTAGAACCCTAAGGTTTTTGTGGGATTCAGGAGTACAGCAGCACTTCAGTGTTGTTTATCCATTAGTGACTGGTTTTCCTGCTTCAAGTGAGTGCAGAGTTACTGACTCTGGTTCCCTTCTCTTCTTAGTGTTGGACTTTGGTGCTTACTTGTAAATAGGACTTTTTACTTGGATATACAGCCAGGAATATGCTAGTCATATGCTCCCGTGTGAATGTTCACTCATGCCTGGGAAGATGCCTGGGGTGCCGCATCATTCCTTCATTACTGAGTTTCTGCAATATGTGATGTAACTCACAAACCAGCTTACCTGATACGTTCCATTTTACTTACTGTTCAAATGTACTTACCGCGAGCACTCTCTTTCACACTTCTAAGCATCCCAGTTGGGACAAAATTATATGGGTTTTTCCTAGCTGCATGCATAGGGTAGCTAAGCAAACACCAAGAGGAGGAAGGCTATTTTCAGCAGCTGATTCTCTTTGAAGTTTAACATCCCTTAAAGCGTCTAAATTGGGTTCTCCCAAAGTGGTTTCAGGAGGTAAGTGGGGACTACATGGGCAAAGGAGAGGACATTCTGAGAAACAGGGGACTCAGGCTCACAGAGGCTGCTCCAAAAGGGTGGTAACAACAATATGGGGATGAGGGAAAGCCAAGTTTGGGAGGTAGGACCAGATAACAGGGACCTCGCACAACAGCATCAGTAGTGCAGGCTTTACCTTGCAGGCAGAGAGGAAACTCCGGAGAGACAACATGGTATTATCAGCAAGCAAATAGTCTCAGTATAAAATGCTAATACCTCCCATTTATGAAACAGATCTGAAAACTCTATCTTTACCATTTTGAAACTTTAGTTCTACCTCTGCCTCTAAGGATATGAATAAGGCACAAAGAGATGGTGCTCTGGAGTTAGCACACTTTTCCTGTACGGTAAGTTGTAGGTCCTGTGGGTCCTACATCCATCACATCGGCTCAACACCGCTGCTCTAAGTGCAGGGCAGCCATGGCGGATACACAAAGGAATCCACATGGCTGAGTTCCAATAGAACTCTATTTATACACATAGGCGGCAGTCGGGATTTGGCTTAGAGGCTGCAGTTTGCCAACCCTTGTTTTAACCCAAGAGGCACCAACCACAGTAAGAATACCTCTGTGCAAAGCAAGGTGTACTTTTGAGACGAAGCTACTGAATTGAAGGTGGGTCACCGAGGCTTTAGTGCAGGAAGGTGTGGGGTGAGGGTGGTGCTGAAAGTCCTGTGGAGCAGACACCCTTAGCAGCCACTGAATGTACCCTGCTGTGGGGACTGGACTCCTCAGGGGTGGCCAAGCTGAGAAGACAAGATGAGCCCCGTGTGGCCAGGAATTACCTCGGCTTGCTCTGCTGCGAATGCGGACGCCCAGCACCGGGGTGGCATCCTCCACGGCAGGGGAGGAGGTTTTCAGCACAGCCTTCATATTCTCGTGCTCGGCGGCGTCCTCCGCGTAGCTCAGACCCTGCGGCTGGCTTGGTGGTGCCGGAGAGCTGCCAGAGAACTTGCCCGACTGCAAAACCAAATGCAAGTTAGGACTGGAGGGAGACTCCCCAAGAAGCTGACTTGAGCTTGTACAATGTTTAGTTAATGAAAACTTCCCTCTGTCTCCTACGAGTTATGGCAGTTACTAAGCTTGTCAATTGATAACAACATCTGTGTCTACAGAAAGATTATCACAAAAGCCACCAGCCAGCCACCCCCTGTAGTGGGCCTCTTGAATTCCCTCAGTGGATTCCTGCAAGGGGCAACAGAGATCACTCTGGGAAGAGCTGAAAAATCAAGGTTGTCTTGAATGCCAAAGTCCTGATATGAGAATTAAAATATGCCTTGTTTATCAATTGTCTTAAGCTTTATGTTTTTTATTTAGTACCAGAAAGCAGTTATATTTTTCTAAAATATCACTCATGATGAGAGAATTACCAAAGTGGGATTCAGTCAGTCACAGAATCATACCATGTTAAGAGTGGGGAAGGATTCTTCTACTTCTAATCCCACCTCACTTTAAAGAAAAAGAAACTGAGGCCCTCCAAGAATAAGTGGCTTGCCAAAGGCTCCAGGAGGGTTAGTGTCAGAGCCCAGAATGGAACACAAAAATTCATACTGAGACTGAATTAGGGAACACTCACTATTCTTGGTTATGTCAATAACATAGTTGTTTTAATAAGCATTACAAACACATGACAACTTTCTCTAATTCTAACTGAACAAAAAGTCAAGACATATATGTTTTATTTTTTATGTTTTGAGGCAGAGCCTTATTTTGTTACCCTTGGTAGAGTGCTAGTGGCATCATAGCTCACAGCAACCTCAAACTCTTGGGCTCAAGTGATTCTCTTGCCTCAGCCCGCAAACAGCTGAGACTACAGGCACCCACCACAACACCCGACTAGTTTTTCTATTTTTAGTAGAGATGGGGACTCGCTCTCACTCAGGCTGGTCTTGAACTTCTGAGCTCAAGCGATCCACCTGCCTTGGCCTCCTAGAGTGCTAGGATTATAGGCGTGAGCCACTGCACCTGGCTGGCACATATGTTTTAAAAGACATATGCTAGTACACTGTATATACACCATGCCAAACATCTGGATGGAGTACAAGAAGTCAGATTTGCGAAGCAGCTCTGCATATTCCTGGCTTCTTTTAATCCAGTGTCTCAGTCGTGCCAAAAGGGTCAGGGATTTGTACCATTACTGCTCCCTTCCCATTTCTCAGGGCCAGTCAGGCCCAGCTTGGTTTCTGGCTCTTGCTTCTGCACCCAGGGCTGAGGAGAAGCCCAGGCCATCCCATCACTGCACATACACACACTGACCCACAGGTCCCACAGACACCATTCAAGGAAATGGGCACACTTCAGAGGCTGCCCATGGGCTGGTGGCAGAGGCTCTGGTCTGGCTTTTGGCCACTGCCCCCCTTCCTCTTGATTTGAGGACTCTTTATATGGTTATTCTAGAGACCAGTTCTCATAGTTGAGTTGCCAAAGGGCTCAGACAAGGGAATGAAATGGAAATTCCTTGTCTGCATTTCCAACAGCAGGAAGGGACCCACTGAAGCTGCCACTCATGACAGGGCTGCTGACCAGCCTGGGCTCTGGGACAGCTTGGAAAGGGTAGGTAACCCTTCAGTTCCAGGCACACATCACATGACAAGAGCTCATCACATGGTTAATGATCACACAAAAACCAACCAGAAAATGTCCATGCATGGTTTAAAGCACTGAATGGTGCTGACACTTCATGCTGGTTATGTTAGATTAGACTACAGAGCACATGGGAAAGTAAATGTGGCATTTTTCATGTATATGAACAGTCATACCTCAACTTCATCCTCGTCATCAGTCTACCCAACAGGACACGACAGGACAGGACGGAAAAGACAGAAGGGATTCATAGAAAGCACAGAAGTCAGCAAAGATGAGGTCATCTCAATGTCACATCAAATTCCAAATAAAGAAATTGGCCACCACGAGCCAGGGACACCCTCTTGGGTTGGGAGCCACTGGACCCTGCCCTCCCACCCTTGTCTGGACATTCCCTTTGTGAATTCCAACACCAGCCCTGAGCAGGATCAGGAAGGATGTTCAGAGCTTCAGGCCAACCTCCTGGGGTGGCCTGTGAGGCCAACAATCAGCTCACCTGGCTCCTTGATCACGACCAACCTCACTCCCAGCTCTGAGTCCTACTGTTGGCTGTGAGAGCCTCAGTATGTGCACTGGCCTGTTTGCTTGGCTCTGCCCATCAGCTATGGCCCCTCATCATGAGCACTGGATCCCTTCCCAGTGGCAGGTCCAGGCTACTGTTAATCCTTCCACATACCAGCCGGACAAGCTGAACAACTGCCCAAGCAGGATGTTTCGTGTCATTCCCTCCTCAGAGAACTGAGGAGATAACTGAGTTCCTTTTGAAATTTCACTCGTCTCTCATGGTGGCCACCTGAACTCTCTGTACTTCTAATAAATTTTATCACTAGATCACTTCTAAAAAATTAAGTTGAGGGTGAAAAGTCATGTAAATCTCTTGATTTTAAATTAAGCACACCTTCATTTTAAGTGTTTCCCCTGAGGTTATAGGCCATGCCAGCAAATATAACACAAGGTTTTTTAAAGTGAAAGAAAGGCATTGTGAAGCAAAAGGCAAGAGATAAGAATCCTGGTCTACCACTATATATATATTTTTTATCTTAAAGCCTATTTATTTAATTGGGATGACTGGCATTTCTTCCAACAATTCACACACATGTGCAAGGCATCACATATATAAAATCTCCAGTCATCTTCAGCATCCCTGAAAGTAACCATCATTCTCTTTGTATAGAAGATGCTGGCATTGATAGAGGTTAAGGCCCAGAATTACAGGTGCCCTCCAAAGTAGGAGCCCTGGGATGTACCAGCCCGAATTCTCACAGTTCACATCTGGAGGAGACAACAGCAGAAAGGCCACAAGTTGCCTTGTGTTGCCTTGTCTGTGTCACCATTTGGTCTAGAATCAGTTTTGAATATGAAGATGAGAAATTAGTTTCTCGCTGGCCCTTACCTGGGAGACTCTAGATTGTGAGAAAGGAAGCCTTCTGCAAACCCAGAAGCAGGGAGAGAGAGAAGGGAGGGGCACTTAGGAGCCAATGGGCGAGGGGTCTTCAGATTTCACCCCCAGACTTCTCATCTCTGTTTAGTTGCTACCACCTGAGTCCTCACTTTATTCAGCACCTATGTTAAAAGTGACTTTATACAATTTTCTCTACAATCTCTTTTAGCTCCAATATCAAGAGGCTCCATGATTCTAAATCTATTGGCTGGTTTTGTTTTCAGTGGTTTAAGTTGTGTATGTGTATATGAAATTTTTTAGGTAGGATGTGTGACATCCTTGGGATATAAGTTTGTCTTTAATTATATTCACATCTCCCTGGATATACAGTGCTGGGCACATAACTGACTTTAATCACGGAGAAGTGGGAAAACGCGAGGTTTCATCCACTTCACCCTAAGTAACGATATCCCAATCGTCCAACAGAGGGCAATCTTCCTGCGTGAACGATGCCCCCTTTGACAACTAAAAACGGGATAGTCTGAGAATGAATCCCAAAGAAGCCTGTTCTGTCCAGATTTTAAGGAGAATTTATGTATTTTTGAATCAAACTCAAGATGCATTCACCTCTGTTTATAATTGGAAAAGCTGAATGTTTTCAGAGAAGGACATAATTTAAAAATTAGTGGGATCTATAAAAAAACTCAAGAATTTAGCAAAAAATTCTGATGTGTTTTCCTAACTATAAGCATATTTGGCTTGTATTTTTCACCCTCCAATGTGTCTCATTTTCACAAAAATAAGTGATCCCTTTTTTAAAAACTTTAAAAATACTACTTTGGGACTGAAATATGGGCTAGAGTTTGCCTAAGCGGGTTTAATCTGCTTCCTGAGCTGCTGTCCTCCAGGAGGCTAAAGATCCTCCTGAGCCCAGATCCCAGGAAAGGAGACAGCAGGCTCTCATCTGATGGCAATGGCACTCAGAGCTGCCAGGGCACTACTGAAAGAGCTCCTTCCGCAGAAAAATGACCTGAGAATTCCCAAAAGTTCCAGAAAATGCCAAGGAAATAAGGAACTTAGGTGGAGGTGGATAGAAAGGGGATTAATTCTGGTTCTCAGAATTGCCCTAAAATTACAACATTTCTAAGTTAATGCACCCATGCTTCCATGTGAAGGTGAGACTCCTCAGGAACATGGGCCCTTAGACAGCAGTGACCAAGTGCTCTCTGTTTTGCCTACAATGTGATCCCATACCCAGGCACGGAAGGCAGGCTCAGTGAGGTCTTCTTAATTGATTTTCTTTCCTCCCCAAAGAAATCTGCCTGACTGAGTTCATCTGAGGCTTGCAACCCCTTAGATGATGGCACCCTCTATGGCTTAATCTTTTCCTCGTTCTAGTCCCTATACCATGGGGACCCACATGCTGCTCAAATACACACACAGATGGGAGAAGTTCGTGGTGCCAAATCACGAAAATAATCGCATTGAGAGTCCTTCAACAGGTTCCAAATATGACCTGTCAGTTTCAAAAAAGATGACTTCATTCTCCCTGAGTCTGCTCAAGAAAGAATAAATAATGAGTAATAAAAGAGAATTTCCAGAAAATGTCTACCTTTTGCCTGGAACTGACCTTATGGCTCATTGGTAATGAATATGTGAGATACCAACCTAGACTTCATATTTCACCCAGGCACAGCAAAAACAGCCACCTGCATTGTGTATCTTTGCTGGTCTCGGGCCCCTATCTTCATGCTTCCCTTCACAGCCCACTTATTGAATGCCCACTGTACCCACAGCCTAGTGGCTTGGGGCTGAGTTGGGAGATAAGGGAGAAGAGCCCAGGAATAGGAGAGACATGTAAGTTTGCAGGGCAACCCCAAGGTGCTATAGGGAAACTCCTACAGGATTCACTGTCCCCTGGGATATCTTTCTACACTGCTATTCTGTGATTCAAGGGACTGCCAAGAGCCCATCAGATTATATCCCTGTGCAATCACATCAATTTCCCTATTCAGATGCCCCAAATAGGTGGTCCACGTGTCAGCTTATTAGTTATATAGCATTGTTTTGATGATTAAAATCCTGAATCAATTCCCAAATCAGTATATCTGTCTTTCTGTGATAAGCACCATTATCTTTTACATTTGCCTTCTCTTCTTCCAATTTTTACCCCTATCAGAGGTCGAAATGGAATCAAGCATTTAATGTCACACAACACACCAAAATGGGTTACAGGTTCCTCCTTCAGCCATGAGTTCTTAACTCTACATATCCTAGGCGCTTGTTATATAGGAGGTTCTCACAAAACAGTGGAGGTTCTCACAAAACAGTGGAGGTTCTCACAAAACACTGAGAGCATTTTTTAAAAGAGAGATTTCATGCATTAAAAAAAAAAAAAAGGCCAGCTTCCAAACTGTGGGGAGGATTTATGATTGATCTTACTTCACAAATAAATGACATAAAAGAGATTGATTTTATGAAACTTACATCAGTGATCATCTTCCCTCTGGTCTTATTTCTCTCTCGGTGATTGGCCCGTTTCTGTTTCTGCTGTAAAACCCTTTCCCTGGTGGTGCGATACTCTAGCGCAAATTCACTGATGATCCTGCAGAACTTGTTGATGTTCACTTCCCGGATCGCGTACGGCGGATGGCCCATGAAGAGCAAAAAGGAGTGGAATCTGCAAGGAAAAAATAGTAAGACATTGTTCTTCATTCTTGGGCCTTTGAGTTTCAAGAGTTTTCTCAAGTAAAAACACGAGCAGAAGTCAAGTTCAGCTCACTGTCTCACTGACTGAGGCTGTATCTGGGTGCTGGAATTTTAGAAAATTACTTTTTTGGGAGGGGAAGGGAGAGGAGATGGAGGGGTGAGGGTGATTGGAGGGATCACCTCTATGGTTTATCTTACAAGGATACAAGTGAATCTTTCTAAAAGCAGAATATAAACGTCTTAACACAATAACTAAGAAAATGACATAAAGGCTATGTTAACCAGTTTGATGAAAATATTTCAAATTGTATATGAAAACACCACACTGTACCCCATGATTGCATTAATGTACACAGCTATCATTTAATAATAAAAAAAAGAATAGAACTAAACAAAAGAAAGAAAGAAAAAAGAAAGAAAATTACTTTTTTGTTTTGATCATCTATGCTTTAATATTTTCCTAAAATGTATATGTGAAACTTTTGTAAGTAAAATTTTAAGGAAGTTTCTAAAGGACTGAATAAGGAAACGTAGCTTAGAAATACTTTTAATACTTGGAATGGACGTGAACACATCACAAATGACAAGTTCATCGATAGCTTGTAAAGAGATGCGGAAAGTTTTCTGCGTAAACATTTTGAAACATTTTCTTGCAATGTGTCATAAATCTTAATTAAATTAGGAAACACCAAATTAACAGGACAAAATAAATGTACTTTGGCTATTTAGTTTGTAAATAAAAATTAGTAGATACAATTTAAAAATTTTGTAAAATAAATTAAAAGAGCAAACAAATGCCCAATTTTAAGTTATCAGGAAATGAGGGTGAAGACAGCAGGAAAAAAAGGAAAATCTTTCTGTAGAACAAACAATATTGTACAAATTATGACACTATTTGCAGACAACACTTTTCGTTTTGACCACTGTAATCTGTACTGTTTGATCATGGGTATTTTTTTAAATGAGGAACATTGGCTTATTCTCTTCATAAAGAATAAAAAAGTAAAGCATATGGCTCATCTTTAAAGGGGGCTAACATGCAAAAGAAGAAAACTGGATCCCTGTCTCTCACTGTGTACAAAAAACCAACTGAAGATGAAATAAAGACTTGACTGTAAGACCTGAAACCATTAAAATACTTGAAGAAAACCATTCTTCTGGATGTTGGTCTAGGCATAGAATTCATGACTAAGACCTCAAAAGCACAGGCAATAAGGACAGATAGACCAATTAAACTATGAAGTTTCAGCACCACAAAAGAAACAAACAGAGTGAACAGACAACCTGCAGAATGGGAGAAAATATTTGTACATTTTAAATCCAATAGAGAACTAATATCCAGAGTTCACAAAAAACTCAACCACCAAAAAACCCACATAACCCCATTAAAAAGTGGGCTACTACACATTTTTCAAAAGACAACATACAAATGACCAATGAGCATACAGAAACATGTCTAACATCACCAATTATCAGAGAAGTGCACCTTAGAACCACACTGAAATATCTTACACCAATCAGAAAGCTGTTATTAAAAGACGAAAAATAAGAGTTGTGGACGAGGATGTGCCTCTTCTACACTGTTGATGGGAATAAATAAGTGTAACCTCTACGGAAAATAGGATTGAGATTTCTCAGAAAACTGAAAGTACAATCCAGCAATCCCATCACTGGCTATGTACCCAAAGGAAAAGAAATCAATATATAAAAAAGATACTACATTCTTGTGCTTACTGCAGCACTATTCACATGAGCAAAGAAATGGGATCAACCCACATGTCTGTCAACAGAAGACTGGATAGAGAACATGTGGTGTATAAACACAATGAAATACTAGTCAGCCACAAAAAAGAAAAAAATCGTATCTTTCCCAGCAACATAGATGGAACTGGAGGCCATCATGTTAAGTGAAAGAACTCAGAAACAGAAAGTTAAATATTACGTACTCTCACTTATAACTGGCAGCTAAATAATTTGTGCACATGGAAGCAGAATGAAGGACAATGGAAGCAGAATGATGGACAGAGGTGGGTGATTGACGGGAGATCCCTCAGTGGGGACAATGGTCATTGCTTCAGTGATTGATGCACTAAAGGCCCCGATTTCATCACAATGCAACATATCAATGTAGCAAAGCTGTACTCATATCCCACAAATAAAAAATAAATAAGTTCTCCCAGGGCCAACTGTAGGTAAAGGGGGAACTTTCCTAAAATATAGAGCTGCTTTACAAGGGAGTGAACTCTCTGCAGGTGAAATTGTTCAAGCAGATGTAGAGGTGCAGGATTCGATGGGCCAGAGATCTTAAGGATATAATTCCTAATCAAGTAGTTTTTCTTAATCAAATTATCTTTGAGATTCCTCCCAACTTCAAGATTCAATGACATTGTATTATTACATGTGTAAGAAGAAACAATTGTCCATGGAACTGTCAAACATCCATATTATTGCTGCATTTGCTGTGCCCCAGTAATGTAAAAGAAAATTTCTGTAAATTTAACCTTCAGATCTTGGTTTGCAGAATACTCTAAACTTTCCATGTTACTGACATCTCTGTAAGTTCCTTGATCCACTTACCTGTTAATTATTCTTCTATGGACAATCTTCAAAATTATAATTCGTTCAGCACAGTCTTTTAGGAACTCTGACATCCGTTGTTTTAAAACCGGTTTCATTTCATGTTTTGCAATTGCCTTAAGGTGATCCCAGGAAGCTTTGCATCTTCTCTCCATCTGACATAAATTATCCTGAAGTTGATCAAAGTCAACCTGAAAATCAGAGAGAGAACACTGCAAATGCACTGGAACAGCCGGACACCAACCTGAACTGGGAGACCCAGCTGCCTCCGGGAAGATCAAACATCAAAACCTAATTTGCATCTTCCAATACAAACACATTTACAGCCCCCAAATCATTCACATGTGCATGTGTCATTATCTCGACATCAAATTATTTAATGATAAAACTGTTCTCCAAATGAACCCAATACATATGTCACCTTTTTGTTTTTGCCATATTTGGAAATACATCATAGGAAAGTCTCTGGGAACTAGAAATTAAAACATGATCTCAAAGAACCCCAGTACAAGATGAACCGAGCAAATGTCTCCAAATTTTTCAGAGTATGCTTGTCCTTCAGAGACGGTATCTCACCGAAGGTTGAGAAATGTACTCCAGTCGTACAAGGACAGCTCTGCCATGCTGGTGGACCGGCTAGCTAATGGGCAGCAGCTTCTCCATGATGAGACCTTTTATCATTTGTGTGACTAATTAGCTTTTTCATCTACCCACTTCTTCATTCACCCAACACACACACAGACCAGTATACACCAGCCCCTAAGCCAGGCACAGAAAACATAAACACAGAT